CCCCAAAACCCCAAAACCCCAAAACCCCAAAACCCCAGAAATTTGTTAAATTATTGAAAAAATGAAACAGAAGAACAAACAAGACCGGAATGAAGATAATATAGGTAAGGAATTAATTTAAGTAGAGCTGTGTTAGGGTTACATTCACTTGGGAGACATGAATTGACTGAGACGTATAGACAATCGAGATGTAGGAGATTTAACATGACTACAGACAAGTGAATCCTTGAGATTGTTAGGTGACCTCAGTATGAAATTATTATTCAAAATTTAGATGAGACTGTTAGGAATCAGAATACACCTGCAATGATAAAGCGTAAGATTAGGCTAGAGTATTATCACCAAGCTTCAAGAGGGCTTAGTCACTAGCTAGTTTAGATTCTCACATAATTTAGAATGAAAAACATCCACCGATACGAAAATATCTGTTTCACCTTATGACAACATTAAATGACAGTCTCCCAACACGAATGAACTTGACACAGATTTGTGCAGTCTTAAAGATGAAGCAAAGAAGATGTTTGAAGGCTTGAAGAAGCTACTTCAGGATCAAGAAACTAGAGTTTTAAGTCAGTTAGAAGATAAACCAGAGAGCATAACTTCCAATGAACTAAATGCTCAATACAGATTTGACAGAAATGCTGAGCTCGATCTGATGATAAAGGAGATCACCAAATTGAAAATTAAAGATACCAAAAAGGAGCCTTCTAAGCTAACACGAGCTCAGGTATTTCGTTGCACTCACATCTAGTCTAAAAAATCTTGTATACCTGTGCTAAATAAGTGAAGTATGGCATCCAAAAAGTTCGGAATCCCAAGAGATGCATACTCTCCATTTCCACAGAAAACCTTAAAGGCCCAGAAAATAGTTTCAACAAGTCTGTGCTTCGAGGAGAAAGACAAAAAGAAGACTGCGTCAAGAATTCCTTCAATGAGATCATTGAAGACTTCTCAGAAAAGCTCAAAGAAAAATATCTTGAAGTCTATTGAGAATAAGTTTGTAGCACCCAAGAAATTTATGAAGAAGGAACCAAAGGCTAAGCTTGCTGGAGAGAGCTTCTCCAAGCCAGGTGTAAAATCTGAAAACTGTTTAAAAATTAATACGAATGACTTGGACTGACTGGAGAAAGAAGATCCTCCAACTCCAAGACCAATAGAGGAAGAGGTTAGCCAAACTCAATGACCAGATAGAGAGATCTGTGGGAATATCAAGCCCAAGGAGCTTAAGAAAGATCCTTCAAAGATTGTTCAAAAAGAATCTGTAAGAATGATTTGTAGCCAGAGAGATTCTCTCAAAACAAAATTTAATTTTAAAAACAGAAAAGTTCATGATAAACTAACAGATAAGAGAGTAAAGTTCTTCATAACTTCTAGAGTTCATCAAGTTATTTGTTGGAAAAATAGGGACCTTAAGAAGAAGCTGAAGCAGAACTCTGAGTGTAGGAATACTCCTTCAAACATATCTTCACTATCTCAAAGTATATCTGAGTTACAGAAGAACTTCGTTGTTTACCCAGAGAGTACATTTAGGAAGTCTGAGTACTTATTGTCTTAACCCATAGTCTTGAGAATACCTCACTATATAAAGTCCATAACCCAGTGAATGGGATTGTAAATTACTCCGAGAAAAGAAGCATGCTGTCTAAATTTAACCAGACAATGAAGACTTCCAAAGAGCCTCATCAGTATAGCATCCAGATTATTGATTGTCAGGAAGGGAACCTTTAAAGATATTTCAATCTGAAAATATGTTGAAGGGGTTTTGGGGTTTTGGGGTTTTGGGGTTTTGGGG